CAGGGCTGTGTAAAAGTACTGCACCCTGCAATGCTTATCCCATAACTATTCTTAACAACTAAGCCTTACATTGCAAGCCTGAATGCAAAACAGAATGACTGTGGTGACTGATGATGCAAGGGGAAATACCATTTGTATCCACACAGCCATGAACGCCTTCTAGCTGAGCTTAGACTGAAGTCTTGTCTGTCCCTTCCAAATGATTCCCAACACTATCTGGAGAGTACGGAGCTCTCTGTATCCTGACCATCCATTCCTCATTCAGCGTTATGGAATCCAGATTAATTTCTGGGCTTGTCTATATGCAAATGTCAACCAAGAGCGCCAACATGAAAACACTCATGATTCATTGTGCGCAATGCTTCTGAAAAAAAAAGCACGAGATAAAACTAATTTTAAAAAAAGTAAACAAATACCATCCTGGCTTTTAAAGGCGCAGAACCTTGCCAGCAAATCTTTAGCATGTCATCTCAGAGGCTTTGTGCACACGTCTCAATTCCAAGAACTAATAGGTCAATGGCAGCCAAAGGAAATGATGTAACTGCAACTCACATCTGCTCCAGTGTCAACCAACTCACCAGGGGTTTCAGTCGCCATGGCAATGTCATTCAGCAAAATAACAATCCAAAAAAAAAAGTAGTTTCCAAACTCTCTCAGACGAAGACAAACTATCTATCCACAGGATGGCTATTCCATCTGTACCGAAACCCACCTCTCAACACAAGTGTATTTGTCCATTACCCAGGGTTTGAGGGCTGGTGGCAATGAGAGATCAGAAACGTGGGAAGCTGTCAGCTCAGCGCTCCGAGCTGCTTTGAAAATTTTAAGTAGCATTCCATTCCATTCCAGTAGAAACCCAGATACTCCCACAGAGATTCTCCAAGTGCTGCACATTCCTGTCCACAGCCAACCAGGACCACCTGTTGTAAGAAGGTTCAAAAGCAAGGAAGTTACACCAAATGGATTGATGAATATATTGACCCAATATATTCATTGGAGTTTAGAAGAATGAGGGGGATCTCGTAGAAAGCTATAAAATTCTAACAGGACTAGGCAGGGTAAACGGGATATTCTGATGTCCAGGGAAGACAGGGGTCGCAGTCTAAGGAAACAGGGGTAGGTCATTTAGGACTGACAGGAGGAGAAATGTCTTCACCCAGACAGCAGGGAGCCTGTGGAATTCTCTGCCACAGAAAGCAGTCGAGGCCAGAACATTAAATGCTTTCAAGAAGGAGTTAGATATAGTTCTTAAGGCTAAAGGGATCAAGGGGTATGGGGGAAGAAAGCAGGAACAGGAGACTGATCAGCCATCATCATACTGAATGGCGCAGCAGACTCAAAAGGGCTGAATGGCCTGCTCCTTCTACTATGTTTCCAACCCATCGTAAAACTGTTGTTTGGCCGCAATTGGAGTATTGTGTCTACTAACTGCAGCATCATCAGTAAGGATGTCAAGGGCCTAAAGAACAGATTTACACAATTGGCATCAGGAACGAGGAGCTTCAGTTGGAGAAAACAGCAAAAGGTGGGAATCTTTTTGATGTACCAGATAAAGGTTAAAACGGCAGATTTAGGAAAGATGTCAAATTCTCAAGGGTTTTCGGTTGAGTAGACAAGGTGAATAGATTCTAGTGGAAAGACGAGTCAGTCTAGTCAGTTTTCAGACAATGAATGAAACAGCCAGAGGGGAAAATGAAAATTAGGTTTGAAATGTCATTGTTATAATCTGGGACACATTGATTGAAACGGCCGTAGATACAAGACAATATTACAAGTGATCTATGTGAGCTAATACTGTAAAAATCTCAGAACACACTCTTTAGAATGGCTCTAAAAGGTTGTGTTAGGGCTATGGGTGTGTCATTAGGACAGCAATGAGAAACCACATTTCAGTATTTCAGTCGCCCGACTACAACTTGGGAATTGGAAGAGTTCCTACTTCCAAGTGCTATCTAACAACACTCAGCGAAAGCTAGCACGTACCTGGGCATAGGACAGGAATGGGATTAAGGTCAGTTACAGGTTGTCCCAGTCTGTAAAATCACGCACCATTGGCCATCAATGACCACTTGGGCATAGCAAGATAACAGACTTCCAAGCTAATCAGCAATCAATGTCTGCAGAGGTGAGAGGATTGATCATTGTTGAACAGGGATGCCAAGCCACAGACTAATGAAGAATTCATTCCCTTTCTACCACCAGAGAGCTCGATGAGCCCGTTGGGAAATGGTGTGTCTAGAAGACGGTCAAGCTGATGGCCTTTCACACATGAAATCAGTTCATACAGGTCTCACCGGCCTTTGGCATTTCATATCTGAATGTGGTGAGCTGCACTGCTTTTATCTAACCAAACCAACACTGAGGCAGACTGCAACAGAACCCATTCAACCAGATTCTGATTGACGACCTCAAGCTGGAGGGGAGATTTCATCTGAATAATGGCCTTCAATCAGAGTTTAAATCTATTGGGCTAATGGATTTATGACGTTTCTCAAAAGATGTGGACACAGGAAGTTGTGTACAAGATCAAGAATAAAGTTAAGATGAGATTGTCCTCTTTGATAGCCTGGTATCACAGGAAGAGTGTAACAGTGCAGAGCAGGATAGAAATCGGCTGGGACCTGTAAAGCCACAGGATTGGGCGATCCCTACATGCTAAGCTCTTGATTACAGCAGCATCAACAGCGATGTAAAGGGACAGAGAGAGAGAGACGTGCCAAGAAAATTCTCAATTCAGAGTTCAGTCTGTTCCAATGGTGGCCAGGACAGGAACAGACCAGTTCACTCTAATACTAACGTCCACTCAAGCCTCCTCCCACTCTTTCTTAATTAATTGCATTGGTATATAGTCTTCCATTCCCCCTTCCCTCATGTGCTTCTTGTGACAGTGACTCCTTTGACAGCATCTTCCAAACTTTTACCATCGAGAAGAACAAGGGCAACAGAAACATCAGGGACACCAATGTCTGCAGGCTCCCTTCAGCCAAACACCAGCCTGACTGGAAACTATACTGCTATTCCTCTACCGTTGGTGGGTCAAACCTCCTTCCCTCCCAGCTTCCATGGACTGCAATGGCTCAGGAAGGCAGCCCACCGTCATCTTTTCTTGGGTAATTGGGGATGGGCAGAAATGTCAGGCTGGCTTTCATAAGCTCACATCCTCTGATTTAAAAAAAATGCATTTGTGGAAGCAAGTGGGGAGGGTGGACAATAAGAACATATGAAACACAAGCAGTAGGCCATTCAGCTCCTCGAGAGAGCCCCACCATTCTAGAAAGGTCATGTTTGATCTGTCCCAGGCTTCCATTTCTCTTTTGTCGCAGCTCCTCATAGCCCTCAATTCCTAGATTTTGGAAATAATTATCAGCCTCCTCTTTCAGCGGTCTATCCACCATGACTCTCCACGGTAAAGAACTCCAGAAATTCACTACCCCAATGGGAGAAGAAATTTCTCCCCCATCTCAGTTTGAAAGGAGTGTACCCCTTATTCTGTAGCTACGCCCTAGTTTGAGATTCCCCTCGCTAGTGGAAACAGCTTCTCAACATCAATACTGTCAAGCCCCTGCAGAATCTTGTATGGTTTTAAAAAAAGAAAGATCGCTCCTTATTCTTCTAAACTCTATTGAATAAAGGCTAACCTGTTTAGTCACTCTTGGAAAGTCAACCTGTTCATCCCAGAAATCAACCCAGTGATTCTCTCTTGATCCTCATCCAAAAAGCCAGTACAACCTTTCTTAAATATGGGGACCAAAACTTTTCGCAGAGAGAGGTGGAAAAGTAGGCAGGTCAGCCTGGACATATATGTTTTCTACGTAGATAACAAGGTGTAGAGCTGGATGAACACAGCAGGCCAGGCAGCATCAGAGGAGCAGGAAGGCTGACATTTCGGGCCTGGACCCTTCTTCAGAAGTGTTAGAATATGTTTTATACTGATAGGGTTGCATAGCAACTTACAATTATATGATATAGCTGAAGATGGCAGGGTTGATTCCCAAGCAAGAGGTGGGGGTAGGAGGATTGGCACCAAGAAACATTCACTTCAAAAGATTTCTGCAGTGCTTTGCGAAAAGGGGAAGATGGTGATATGGGAGCGACAAGCACGAGGAAATGAGTGGCAATCCAATACGAGGGCAGTGGATGGTACAAGCAAATGTGCATCATCACTGCAAACAGAAAGAAGCTGAAGATTTTGATGGGGAAGGAGAGAGCAATTAACATCTAGCTGTTTGGAGGAGAATTTTCTGTGCTGTAATTCAGCCTGACACCTTCACATCCTGTACTCCCCATTGTCAAACACTCACTAATGGCCTGCGAGTCGTATAATTAAAAACTTCAAAACCCTGTTGACAATGCGTTGAGAGCAACAACAGGCATTTATAGAATTCCCTTAATGTAATAAAACATCTGGGGATGTTTCACAGGAGTGTCACCAGACACTGAGCTAAAAAAGGCAATACCGGAACAGAGCAATAGCACAGAGCTTTGGCAGCACTGTAGGGATGGCGGAGGACAAGGTCAGGATTTGAGAGGAGGATTGTATGACAGAAACACCTCGGCACCACAGTCAGATAACCTGAGCCACCATCCACACCTCCAACTCTATCCTAGCACTCAAACAAAGGCTTGCCACTATGAGTTGCAGATTCTTAATGAATAAAAAGTGACGATCTAGCTATTGGAAATAACAGCATGTGACGAATGGATATTGCTCACCATTTAAGCACATGGATCACCAGAGCAGTAGGCCTTTCAGCCCCTCAGGTCTGCGCTATCATTGAGTAGGACCATGGCTGATCTGATTCTAATCTGAAACCCACATTTCCTACCACCTCTGGTCCCCACCCAGCCAACACCTGATGACATTTCAACCCCTTGACGTTGACATGGTCCAAACCATACAACCATTTGTCAACTGAGTTGACCCAGGAGAAGGGGCACCCGCCAACAGAGCAACTGTACTCCAATTGCAGCGCAGAGCAGTTTACTCTCGGAACACGCACCTGTAAAAGATTTTACGAGGAGAGCTGTCTGCATTTGCCCAGGGCTCGATTAGGAAATTATTCTCATGTTTGCCATCCAGGCTGCCCTTGCGTCTTTTCAAAGCTGAATACCGGCGCCCTCCCCCAGCCACAGCCAAAGATATGCCCATCTGCATGCCTGCATTTCGCTGAATCATGGTTTGAATGATTCCCATCCATTTTGGCTCCACTGGAGCAGAGGTGGGAGGGAGGAAGGAGGATTGGGAAACAGCTGGCTGCCCCCATCTGTTTCTGGTTTATGTTTGTGTTTCCTGGTTTGTGATCTGACTGCGCGGAGAAGCCGGAGCGTGGCAGTGAGGGGTGGCGCGCTGCTCCCGACCCCTGGCTACACCGCACTGCCCACCACCACCCCCCCCACCCCCTTACCCTTCCTGAGCTGGAAAAACCCCAGCCTTCCTCCACCAGGATTCCTTCTCCAAAAGGATCTTTTCAGGCCTCCCCCCCCCCACCCCCCACCAGCCTCTGCCATGATGAGGGCACCAGGAATTTGATAAACACAGTCAGAGAGGAGGGGGTGAGGGGTGGATGCAGACACAGTTACAGAGAGACAGACAGATACAGGATAAAAAAGGAGACAGACAGAGGGAATAGTGACAGACAGAGAGAAAGGGAAGGGGTTACTAGACCAAAAAAAAACACACACACGCACACAATAAACTCGCCTGCCAGCTTCATGCGGAATGGTCGTCATGGTAACGAGAAATTATGAAGAATAAATAAATAGCACAAGCGTCAATTTGATGCATTCCAGCATCCAAGCAGTTTGGCTAACACCACAGACCTATTTATCAACCTATTTCAAATATTTCATCCTAAAGGTTACAGACAGGCTCAATTTCCTCCTGCTTACTAAATGACCTGGAATTCCCAAGGGACTGTGCAACATCTCAGCCAGGGCACCCCTCGGGTTTCATGGGCAGGAGAAGGGTTTAGAACTACCCCCTGAGATCAGGGGGATGGTGGGGGGGTGGTTTTTAGAAAAATCGAAATCAGCCAGCTCCCGGGCGATCAGTATCGCTTGTTGTCACACTGCTCCTGTTTGGAAGATCATCTCACTGTTCCAGTGAATAAGCCCTCTTATAAAACCAGGGTCTGCATCATTTCCATCGCCCCAGCTCCTGGCGGTCTCGATATAACCCGCAACCCAAACTCGCCTGCTTCAGTAATGGCATGGAAAGATCCAAGTGGGAGCAAAGAAAAAACTGCCAATCGCGAATGAGAGCATTTATCTTGGTAGCTGTTGTAGCAGTCATAGAGCACAGAAACAGGCCCTTCAGTCCATCCAGTCCATGCTGACCATAATCCCAAACTAACCTAATTCCCCCAGCCTGCACTTGGCCCATATCCCTCCAAACCTTTTCTTTTCCTGTTCTTATCCACATGTCTACTGATTAGCCAAGGCAAACGGGAAGGGAGCTGTTCATGATCACAGGGGGCAGGAGCGCAGGAGCAGGAAGAGGTCACGCAGCCCCTTCTGTCTGATCTGCTGATCAGCAATATCACGACTGCTCTGTATCCTGGCTCTTTAGTCATTCATCGGTTCAGCAATCCTTTCCAATCTTATCTAACACACACCGCCAGAACTACGACGGCACCAAGTCACACTCAACCCAATTGGGAGATAAAACTGGTGCGCGTTCACGGCTGCTGGGCCAACATTCTAAAAGTCTCGACAACAGAACAGACCGCAGATGCTGGAAATCTGAAATAAAAACCAACAAGCTATTCAACCAGTCAGGCAGCATTCGTAGCAAGAAACCACTCCGGCAAAATGTCACCCTCGACCTGAAATCTTAACTCTCTTCTCCACAGAAGAGTAGTCTTAAGCCTCTTTTGCTTTTGTTCCAGATTTTATTCTGGAACCGTTTCCCGGCCAATGGGGAACGTTCTCACTCTGAGAACCACGTTCTCACTCCGAGAACCACGTTCTCACTCCGAGAACC